GTAGCTACTTGTTTATAATTTAGGGGGTGTGGGAGTGTGCAAGTCACTTACCTTTTTGTCTAATCAACATAAGGTATGACCTTTGAACCTTGTGTTTCATTTAATCATTTCATTTTATCTTGGTTAACTTATGTATAGGACATTGAATATTTCTGATTTTAGGGATTATTGCTAGCCATTGAGGAATTGTTGCCTGGAGTAAAATAAATGTTTTGTGTAAGGCACATGTATAATAATTTCAAAAATGTATATCCAAGTAAACAATTAAAAGAGCTTATGTGGATGGTAGCAAAATCACCTTATCTACAACAGTGGGAAAGCATATAAAAGAAATGAGGAACATTAATGAAGAGACATTCAAGCACCTCCTGAAGATTCTCTCAAGATATTGGAGTAAGTCAAGGTTTTCTTTCCAATCTAAGATTGATATGGTTCTAAACAAGATGTCTGAAAGATTCAATATAAAAACCCATTGTTACTATGATGGAAGACATAAGAGTGTATTTAATAAAAATGTGGGTTGGGAATATAAAAAAGGCCACGTTGACTAGAGACATATTGCCAAATATACAGAAAATGTTACAAAAATATCAAGTTGAATCAAGATAGTGGTAGCCAAGGTATAATTTTTTTTTATCATATTTTAACTTTTTAATATGGTTCATTTTAGTCCTCAGTTTTAAAATTGGTTCATTGCAGTCATCTAATTCTTTAATATAGTTCATTTTATTCCTTTAAGTATTTTAAAATCAAGTATAATTGTCCTTCAATATAATCTCAAATTACAACTTACTCTTATTTTCATGTTTGCAAGGTGGTTTGGAAAACATATGTTTAAGGTTCAATATATAAATTTTAAGGGAGATAAATTTGTGGTGAACCTTGAAGCAAAAAAATGTTCCTACATAATATGGATATTTACTGGAATACCTTGCTGTCATTCTATTACTTGAATGAATCATGTTAATCTCAATTATACAGATAATATTTCTATTTATTATAGGAAACAAAATTATGCAATTGTTTACCAATCTATCACATATCCAGCAAATGGACCTAATTTATGGGAATTTACTAACTATCTTGACATCTTACCCCCCCACTAATAAAGAAACAACCTAAGAGGCCAAATAAGTTAAGAAGTAAAAAGATGCAGTTGAGAAGGTTGTTAAGGAAAATAAATTGAGTAGGAAAGGAATGATTGTTAAATGCAACAAATGTGGAGTAAGTGGTCATAACAAAGTTACTTGCAAAGTTACACAGTCTGTTGGAATAAAGGCACCAACAACTTAGACTCAAAGTTTAAGCACTTCCTAAGTTCCAATGGATGGTCAAACAAGGAGAAAAATGTGTGCTCGAAGGTATAAACACAGTTACATGTATTTTTTGGAGACAATGTATTATTTTGCTTTACGATTTATGCTTTTGGTTAGAAGACATTTTTTGTGGGACTTGTATTTTGTCTATGTTGTTTTGTTATTATCATAACAGTATATTTTAATCAATCTTTTTATTCTTAATGTGCATTTTTATGTCACATCCATATTTCAAGATAATATATATGCCAAAAATATTATTTCATTAAAGATAAAATAACTCATATAAAGCAATAATATTATAGCAGGACCATGATTTAATCAAAGCGCATGACCATGACTTAATTAAAGCACTCTTTCATAGTGCATTTACAAATATTATATCCCTAAAAAACATTTATTTTTTGCCAAATAATGTCAATAACAACATCATTACTAATACATTAATAACAATCTTAATATTTTTCTTGCTAATTTTGAGTGAGTTCTAAAGATGCAATTTTTTTCTCCTTTGCCTCAGTACAACAATTTCAATATCTTCAACTTCATCATCTTTCTTTTACTTGAAAAACTCACAACTCTCACTAAATTAAAAAATGATATAATAGATTAGTAACACAAATCGGTTGAACTCGTTTATATACAAAAATAAAATTCAGTTATTTAATCTTACAAAACTACTTTATAGTTTTTACATCCTAAAAATCCCTTCTCATATTTTTTTGTTGTTATTGCTATGTGATAAATACTCTTTATACCACAATAACAAAATAGATGTCCAATCCTTCTGTAAGTAGACGTCATCGTCGAAGATTGTGAGCCTATGAAAGCTCCACCCTCTATTTTACTAATTCAAAGAGACGTAGAACCCTAACTTTATGTGCCCTAACTTGTATGGAAGGAGATGACCTATAATATAATATATTTTCATCAATTTTTAAATAAAAAAGCTTTAAGACTACTTCAACATCACAAAGAAGTTTTTATTAAGTTATGTAACAGAATTAATAAAAAAGATTAACGTGGAAAGAAAAAATAATACTTCAAGTCCGAAATTGAATAAAAAAAAGTTAAAAGATAAAACCAAAATTTTACCTTTTAAGTTAAGGGAAAAAAACTAATTTTACCTATTTAATATTATTTTTAAAGATTTTTTTTTTATAAATATTATCTATATTCTAATCAGACTTTTTATAAAATTAAATAATTATAACTTGTATATAGTACAGGAAATCAAACACGTTAAATTTATGGTGTTTGAGAGAGCCTTGTGAAAACTTATTTCGGATTATAAAAGTATTCATAATTGTTTTATAAACTCTTTTAACAAAGTTTTATGCACAAGCTTATCAAAATAAATCTTTGCACAATAAGTTTTCACTAACACATTAAATATTTTTTATTAAAGATATCTTCATATGAAATTGTTTTGTTTGAGACATTGTTGCATATGACCTTTCTTTCAATAAATTTAAGTTGTAATTCTTTTTTTAAGTGTTGAACCGTAATTCATTATTTCATAACAAATGTCTTATCATTAATTTATTCCCGTATATTAAGTTATTTAACTAAATGCGTCTCAATTTAAAGATGTAAACTGATTTTAAGAAACTAGAGAAAAACATCGAAAAACAAAGAAAGCCTAATAAGTTTGATTCACGGATGACAATACTTATTTCACCGTGCAAAAGACGAATAAACATATGATTTCTTAAAAGCAATAAACAATGTTTCTTGAGAAAATCAATGTTTACTGTCATCATCTTTAAATTTGAAAGAATATTTTATATTTTTAAATTAATAATTATAATTCTTTTAATATTTTAAAATAAAAAAAATATTTATATATTTTTAAAACAAATTATTAACTTTATTATTTATTAATATAAAATTAATGCAATTGAGAAAACAAATAATAGTAAAAAAAAGCTAATTGACAAACAAGAGAACAAAATGCAAAACCCAAGGCAGTGGAAACATGTAGAATAGCAACGAAAGTTCTAGTTCGACATATCCGAAGGCGCTAGCTTCTGTTCTGAAGCCTAGTGGAATCCAACTTTTAATTTTCTTTACTAAGCGTTGACGGTTGCAATATTCGTTCCAGAAGCATCCGTTCGTTGCATTTCATGCCCACGAGCGAGACTAATTGTAATTAAAAAATTATGAAAATAAATTTATATATCTGATAAATTAAAGAGAAATAAATAAAATAACGAGAAAAATAAATGATAAAATCAGTGTAGTAATGATTTTTTTAAAATAAATAATAAAAGTTATTGTAAAATTTATTATATTTTTATTGTAATTTTTTCTTTTTACGAATAACAAGGCAAGTAATATATGTAATGAAAGGAAAATAATTGATAATATTTATTGAGTGTACACACTTAACAGTAAACTTTTAAGTTATTCTTAAAGATTATATAAATCATACTATTTAAACTTCAAGATTTTGAACGTTTTTACTTGTTACAAGCTTTTAGTTTTGTTAATTAAAAGACATTAATGTAAATACAATTGCATTTATGTACCACCAATTACATGAATTAATCAGCAGATATTGTTTAAGACTTTTGAGTCTAAATAAATATAATTGTCTTAAATATTTAGAAAGAGAGTTTTATTATTTATAATTATTTTATTTAACTCAAATAAAGTTACCTTAAGTAAATGATATATGTAATTTTTTAAAAAATATTGTTAGTTTTATTTTATTCTGTTACTAATTAATAGAGTTTCTTTTTATTTTAATAACTAAAATGTATTATTCATAATTTAAAAATAATTTTAATATTTAATTTTAATATATAATTAATAAAAATATATATTTTTAAATAATTAAAAGGATTGTTAATATTAATTTTAAAATAATTATTATATAAATAAATTATATTTAATAAATAATTATTCTTGATTAAACAACAATCTTATAATCTCATTATATTTCAATTAAAATCAAATAAAAAATAAAAAATTAAAGTAATGTGATGAAAAATGACATAAGATAAGAATTTAATTGAAATGCATTAATAGTATTAAAGATTCTTTTAGATTACCATTCAATCATACAAAATATTAACGAAAATTATTGAGTCTTGTAATAAATAACTTAAAAGTTAAATTTATGCATATTATAATTACTTATTAGAATAATATTTTTACCGAATATATATTAAAATTAAACTCATGAAATAATAATAAAAATAAATTTTTAATATATAAAAATCAGAATTCTTCCCGATCAACAGTGCGTGTAGGAATATAATACCGTAAACCCAACTTAATGGGAGGTGGAAGAGCGCGTATTTACTGTGTACACTACAACAGAGCAGGATTTTGTCCTTTGTTAAAGAAGAAAACAAATTACGCCGTTATACGTTCTTCCCTTGCTTGGATGGGGAAAACAAAAATTGAAGCATTAAATGCAGATACAATACCCAACTACCTTTTGTTTGGTAAAAACATGCATGGTAGTGTGACCCACACTTTCTCATGCCATGGCTGTCACTAGAATGTCCCAAAGCACGACCTTAGCGAACAACCAAAATTGGCTTTTCTATATAAACCCACCTCACACTAGCTAACTTACCCATCAAAGCTAATCTCTAGCTGCCTTAACTCCCTTTTTCTAGATCCTTGTATTCCTTCAACCAGTTGCATTTACTTTCCTTAGCTACCCTTACCATGGCTCCGAGCTTAAGCAAAAATGCGACCATAGACGCATTGGATCTGGTCGAGGGCAATTTACGCTTGTCCGTAACCTTAAAAGGATCAAACTTTCTTGCTAATGGCCACCCGTTTCTCACCCAAGTCCCAGCTAACATAAGAGCCACTCTCGATGCTAAGAACCCCGCGGGTTGCTTCGTGGGATTCGACGCTGACGAGCCCAAAAGTAGACACATGGCATCCATAGGGAAACTCATAGGCATAAGGTTCATGAGCCTATTCAGGTTCAAGGTGTGGTGGACCACTCACTGGGTGGGAAGCAACGGACACGAGGTGGAGCACGAAACCCAATTGATGCTACTCGACAAAAACGACTCCTTGGGACGCCCCTACGTTTTGCTACTGCCAATACTCGAAGGCTCCTTCCGAGCCTGTCTCCAACCCGGTTCGGATGACTACGTGGACGTGTGTGTGGAGAGCGGTTCGACACGTGTCAGTGGGTCCAGCTTCAGGAGCTGTTTGTACATACACGTTGGCGATGACCCTTACCGGTTGGTTAAAGAGGCTATGAAAGTGGTTAGAATCCACTTAGGGACTTTCAAGCTTCTGGAGGAGAAAAACCCACCCAATATTGTAGACAAGTTTGGTTGGTGCACGTGGGATGCATTTTACTTGAAGGTGAATCCCAAAGGGGTGTGGGAAGGGGTGAAGGGTCTGGTGGAGGGTGGGTGCCCCCCAGGGTTGGTCCTCATCGATGATGGGTGGCAATCCATCTGTCACGACGAGGACCCAATCACGGACCAAGAGGGTATGAACCGAACCTCTGCGGGGGAGCAAATGCCGTGTAGGCTCATCAAGTTTGAGGAAAATTACAAATTTAGGGAGTATTGTGGTGGAAAGGACTCTAAGAAGGGTATGGGTGCGTTTGTCAGGGATTTGAAGGAGCAGTTTAGGAGCGTGGAGAATGTGTATGTTTGGCACGCGCTTTGTGGTTATTGAGGTGGGATCAGGCCTAAAGTGCAGGGCATGCCCGAGGCTAAGGTTGTTGCTCCGAAGCTGTCGCAGGGGCTGAAGATGACAATGGAGGATTTGGCTGTGGATAAAATCGTGAACAACGGTGTGGGTTTGGTGCCACCTCACCTTGCTCATCTATTGTACCAGGGGCTTCACTCGCATTTGGAATCCGCGGGAATTGATGGTGTCAAGGTTGACGTTATACATGTAAGTCCCTTGCAAAATTCTTCCCTTTGCTCTTATGCTACATGAGAATTTTCTTTTTCAGTTATTCGTTATAAAATATTAATTAATTATATCATATTTTAAATTTTAAATAATTATTTTTCGTATACACGCTTTTTAAAATTAAAAGAATAATAAAATGATAAAATATAAGTGAAGTATATCTAACTACTTTGGATACTATTCTCAATTAAGATTTAATAGCATTAGATACAATTTTTTTTATTAAAATAAAAATCCAATTTTAATATATAAATGTTACGAATACACTTAAAGGATAATTCCAATAAAACTTTATATAATTAAAAACATTTTCCTTTTTAATTTATGTCATCAAGTTGTAAATTAGATAAAAATTACAAAATATCAAGTGTGGAATAATTAGGGTTAAATTATTTTATATGCTTCAGATTTATTTATTTTTATTTATATAAAAGTTAATCATTTTAATTATAATTTTAATATATATACTAATTGATTAGTGATACAAATAATTATAGGAGTATTAATGTCTTGAGAAGAATTTTAGAATTAATGACCACTTTAGTCATTATATAATATTCAATAGTACCTTAGTCATGTTTTGGTATGTGCAGAGTATTTTTTAACGTTATTTTATGAATTTAAAACCAAATTATTTTAAATTTTTTCTTTTTAATTTAAAATATTCTTATACAAACCATGAATAGTATTCATTGTTTAGTTTGACTACAACTTTTATTTTTATTTTTTTACTTTGCTTCAATAGTTGTACATGGCATGGCAAATACAGGTATTCTTTGTATTTACTAGTTAAAATTTGGAAAAGAGAGCTTTACTAAAACTTGTTAGTTAATGGTGGTTCGACCTCTTCATAGTCATCTAACTTGCGGACCATGTTATGTCTTACATATTAAATACGCACTTTAGATGGCCTAATAAGGTAGTTATATTCTGTACACTTATTTTTGTTGTTTACATAATTGAAAATACGATATTATATTATTATGTAAATTAAATGAAATGTATGTAGTGAAAAATTCGATCATCTTTAAAAAATATTCTCAAAAGGAATAACTATAGTTTGTCTTATTTTTTTATTAAAAAATATTTTACTTTCTTTTTATGTTTCATGTATTTATTTAAGCCTCATATAACAAAACGGCGAGAGGTAAATCCTGTAATAAAACTTTTAGAAACCAGATGAAGTAAATTGAATCAAATGGAAGTTTATAAGAGTCAAAGTTGCATTTCTTTAGAAATACTGAAGGCAAAACAAATATTGGTGTCATAATGGATGTGGATTGGACAATTAATAATTTAAAATAATTTAGTGTTACATTTGTTATCATAAATTTGCCCATATGGACAATGATTTAAAGACTTGTTAGTAAAATTATGATTGATTGCTAACATCGACAAAACACAAGAACTCTTATCATGTGTCTAAGGGAGTGAAAGAATTTTAATATTATTAAACAGATGATAAATTTATACTAAAATTTAAACATCACTTTTACATCATTGATAATATGCAAATAAGCGGTTATTTTTTTTGTAATATGTAGTCGATATTAAATGATTACCAAAAGCAAATGTTTAATAATTGAATAGAACGTTGAGTGAGATTAGCAGTACCAGCATGCTCAATATTCTTTTTGTATTTGTGTTAGTGTAATAGGACCAAGTACGAACCATATACATACACTACGGTTGTTGTAATTGCTGGGTTGAAACCTGAAAGGCAATTTGTCTCAACTAGAAATGGTTTGTCGTTAGAAGTGTCTCTTTTCATTGGCACTTGTTGCTTTCGTAAGTATACCAAGACTTTGGGAGTGAGAAGAACAAAGATGCATTTGAGAATTAAATAACATTATTTGAACGATTGATTCATGAAATAGTCATTCTCATCTATTTTTCCTGTATTCATGGTGTGGTATTACATAATTTCTCTTTTTCTGTTTTAGTTTGAGCATTAAGTTGGATCTATAATCATTATTAGGCTCGAAAACACTAGAAAGCTCTGCTTATTAATTTGTTGTCGCAATGGATTTTTTAACTGAACAGAGATCTGATGAATATTTGAATGATTTCAAGTCTAATATTGCGGGATTTGCATTTCGCAGTTGCTTGAAATGCTATCAGAGGAATATGATGGCCGTGTTGAGCTGGCCAAAGCTTATTACAAAGCACTCACCGCTTCGGTGAAGAAGCATTTCAAAGGCAACGGCGTAATTGCCAGCATGGAGCATTGCAATGACTTCTTTCTCCTTGGCACAGAAGCCATATCCCTTGGGCGCGTAGGTAAGCATTCCAAATTGCAACCTTAAATAACTCAGATAATAAGAACTTGTCTAAATTACTTCATTGGATAAAATTTCTGAGCCGTGAACAATTCAAACAGGAGATGATTTTTGGTGCACTGATCCTTCTGGAGACCCGAACGGTACATATTGGCTCCAAGGATGTCACATGGTGCACTGTGCCTACAACAGTTTGTGGATGGGGAATTTTATTCAACCAGATTGGGACATGTTCCAGTCCACTCATCCTTGTGCCGAATTCCACGCCGCTTCTAGGGCCATTTCTGGGGGACCCGTTTACGTTAGCGATTGCGTGGGAAAGCACAACTTCAACTTGCTCAAGAGCCTCGTTTTGCCTGATGGCTCCATTTTGCGTTGTCAACAATATGCACTTCCTACTCGAGACTGCTTATTTGAAGACCCATTACATGACGGCAAAACAATGCTCAAAATTTGGAACCTCAATAAAGTAAGAAATTAATTATACAATATAAATACCTTTTTCTTTTTAATTGATTAGTCACACTTAATGGCATTTAAATTATTAACCATTTTATTATTTTTTTAATAGTATACAGGTGTTTTGGGTCTATTTAATTGCCAAGGAGGTGGGTGGTGCCGTGTGACTAGGCGAAACAAGTGTGCCTCTGAATTTTCACACACCGTGACATGCTTTGCGAGTCCTAAAGATATTGAATGGAAGAACGGGAAACGGCCAATGTGCATCAAAGGGGTGGATGTATTTGCTGTGTATTTGTTCAAAGCTAACGAGCTGAAGCTCATGAAGTCATCAGACGAATTAGAAATTTCACTCGAGCCATTTAGTTTTGAGTTATTTACAGTGTCTCCAGTGATAATGTTATCAAAAAGGTTAATTCAATTTGCTCCAATTGGATTAGTGAACATGCTTAATTCTGGTGGTGCCATTCAGTCCTTGCAATTTGACGACCACACAAATCTAGTCAAAATTAGGGTAAGGGGTTGTGGGCAGATGAGGGTGTTCGCTTCAGAGAAGCCAGTAAGTTGCAAAATAGATGGGGTAGTCGTGAAATTTGATTATGAGGACAAGATGGTGAGAGTCCAAGTTCCCTGGCCTAGTTCTTCAAAATTGTCAATGGTTGAATTTCTGTTTTGATCCCTACAAAAGGTTAATTTGGAATACATTGATGTTTGACTCCGCATTTAAGTAATAACAATGTATCTATTTCTTTTTTTAATCAATTGTTATGCTACATATATAATATCAAAGAAATTGGATCGTTAAAAATGATTCGTTTACGGCTAAATTTGAAATATTTTTATTTATAACTTTCCCAACACCCTCTCCTCACTCTGATTTTTGAATTTTTCTCAATTCAACCCCAATTTTATTTATTCTTATTTCTTCCATAAAAATATTCCAATTGAACAGCTATTTTTAAATTTTCTTTTGAGTTTTAGGGGTGGGGTGATGTGTTAGGAGTTTAAATTTAAATAAAATAAAAAATGTCACCGATATGATTGTTTTTGTTTAACCGCATGCTTGATTAAATCTATTGCCACATTTTCATAATTGTTAACCAAGTTAATAATCCATAGTGACTAGCTGATAAACATTTTTTTTTTCAATAGAAGCAAAATAGTTACTCTTTTTGTTTTCAACAACTACTCTAACTTTTATTTTGATAGTAGACAATTACTTTAATTATTGGTATAAAGAAAGAAATATAATAATGAATAGTCTATATGAATGAGAGTAATTTGGACTTGAGTTAATTAGGATATGGTATATATATATAATTCTCCCAAGCTAGAGAGAATGTTATGCATTCTTGTCGTTCGATGGCAGTGTGAAGATTAAAGTTACAGAAAGATATAAATGATTCAGGTTTTTTAGTTTATCTGAAAATAAAACTAGATAGTTTTATTTTTGTTTAAATTGATAGTCTCTCAAGAAAATTTACAAATTTGAGATAGAATCATTCTTTTCATTTTTATTTAAGTAGGCACAATGCAAATATAAAGATGAATTGTAATAAATCTATGAAATACTCAAAAAGAGTAACTATTAAATTAGTTTTGGCACTCAAGGAATCCATGAAATACTAAAACAGAGTAACTATTAAATTAGCTTTGGCACTCGAGAAAGCGAGAATAATAGTAAATCTATTAAAGGAAAAATAATGTTTAGGAGATTTGGATTCATAAATACATGAATAATACTAGTAGTATTAAAGTAATAAAATTGATTTCTACTTTAAATATGAATGTATTGCATCAATAATCAATAAGTAGCTATGAGAAACAAAAGAATAAATATAATCAGTTTTTCTATTTTATTTGTTAACTAGATTCATAAATTTGTCTTCTAGTTAGTACTCCTCTTTGTAGACACGATAATTGTTGAATTAAAATAAATTTTCCAAAATTTACAGATTCGTTTGAGAAAAATAAATGTAGAAGATCTTGTTTCTGCATAAATTAGAGATAATTTATAATTGATATATATATATATATATATATATATATATATATATATATATATATAAGTTGCAGTAGAGTGTAATTATTTATTATAAGAAGATAGAGATATAAGTTGGATAGAATTGATAAGAGAAAAAAGATTGATTTTAATTTTTTTTAAACATCTTTTCCACTTAGTGGGTGAGACACTAATCTTTTAAGCTATATTTAGAAGTTATATTTTAGAGGAAATAGAGAAGAATATATTTTATAAAAAAAGAATTAGAAGGCATATAATGTTCATGAAATATATACAATTAAAAATACTTGTTAAAAATGATTTTTTTTAAATTTAACTCTCAAATATACCTTAAAGTAAGGATAGTTTAATGGGATTTTTTTTCCTATACATGTAAACATCAGAATACTTAAAAAAGAGATTTTGATTGATATTAACTAGATGAAAATAATTGTTGCAGTTAAAAAAATGTTTTGTCAATTTCAGTACGTCCTCAAAGATGAAGATAAATAATTAATAATAGTAAAGTTTTAAAAAAATTATTTAGTGAAATTTTATAATTTTATGTAAATTTTTTATTATTATTTTAATTTATAAATACTTAAATTTAGCTTAACGGCTGAACTTAGCAAAATTATAAAAATAAAAAAGAAAAGGTAACGCCGTTTTCTCACGAATTATTTCTGCCGGCAAAACCGCAGTAACTAATTGCTTTTATCGTTTGTTTTCGGAGGGAAAATTACTTCCATTAACCTTTTTAATCCCAAAATTTTGCTTACATAAAATATTAAGAGTGCATTCCAAATCATAGTCTTGCATGTAGAATGGTATAGCAAAATTTCAACGACATGTTCAAAGAAATATTTTGTATTTACAATTCATCAGTTACGCAGAGAGAGATATACCTTCTGGAGACACTTGAGTAATTTGATACTCATAAGTCATAACATGTATATATAAACTATGACATGCTAATTAGATAGATTAACAGAGATTATTGATACATGATCTTATTACATAAGGGCATGGCTAAGCAGGAATTTACTTAATACAAGCACAGTAGTAAATTGACATACTAAGAGACCAGTAGACCACCTACCAAAATAGCCCCATGATGACAGGCTTAGCTTTGGAAATCTACCACCTGGCCATTCCAAAAGCAACTCTGCTCTTGCTTATGCACATTTTTGGCACACACTCTTTCGCTTTAAACCTTTCAGGAGCCTCTGGATTTTGACGCCTGTGGTCGTTCGATCCTTCCAACTCGTAAATGCTCATAGGCTGCCTATGATCATTTGAAATATGGGATTGGGTGTCATAGTCCTTCCGCTGGGATTTCTGCATTTTGTTCGCTATTTAAGAAATTATAAGTACTCACTGCCACACCCACTAAATTTAAATTGGCACCTTGATGTATATATATAGATAAATAAATAGATATAGATATAGATAAAATTGAATCTAATTCCGAAAGCTTTAGTTATTGTCAAATCAACAGAATTGAGCTTTACTTTAAAATTTTGTTGTATTTTAATATGACTAAATTAAGAAGAAGAGAAAAAAAATTCAAAATTTAAGGTTGAATTAAGATTGATTAAAAAAATCCTTTTTATCTTTATTATATGGTTTATCAAAATTCATCATAATAAAATAAAATCAAGATTGAGTAAAATTATAATAATTTTAAAGTTTAATTTACTAAAAACTAAAAATATTTCATTAAATATGGTGAATCTAGATTAGAGATATAGATATACAGATAAAATTGAATCTAATTCTCAAAGCTTTAGTTACTGTCAAAACATCACAATAGCCTAGAGTTTTAGATTCCATTGCTCTTTTAGATTGTGGCCAGATTGACGTGTATATAGTTTTAAAAGACTATAGCAATTCTTAAGGAATGGCTATTTAAAAAACCTCAAATTAATAATTGATATATATATATATATATATATATATATATATATATATATATATTGTACTGGGAAAGGAATCAACTCGGTTCCACCCTCAGGAAAAAGAAACCGAATACCTACTCGGCATACTGGGCCGGGTACCCCTCGTCAAGATTAAAAGGTAAATAATCCAATTAAAGATAATCAAAAGTACTATGGGCCTCAATATAAAAATTGACTCAGGCCCATTAGTCCAATAGAATGTCTATAAAAAGAAGATAAGAAATACAGGTAAGGGGTTGACTTCTCATCATTAAATAACATTTATTGCTCAGAACCGAATCCTGACTTTATCATCGGAGTGCCTTTTGGAGGTATTCTCCCTATCAGCAAATCAGTGGAAGGACGCCTGATCAGAGGTTTGAAGATAGTTGTTTCGTTAGGAAGGAACATTTTGGCGCCCACCGTGGGGCCTGATAAACTTCATCACTTAGGATTAAGCATGGTAATGACGAGGAGCCAGCAGGAAGGGACTTCTAGGCAACAAATGGAGGGCGTCACGCCAGAGGAACTAGTTCCGGAAGTGGTGATACAGGGAAGAACGAAAGAAAGCATCCTAGCTGTACTGAGGCAGCTAAGGGCAGAAATGGTGGAGATGAAGAAGGATCGCGAAAGAGATGCACTGGAACTCTCAGCCCTACGAAGGGAAAATGCCGGCCTAAGGGAGGAAATAAGGACACACGTCCCCTCCCTTAATACCCCCGTTGTCCAAGATCAAGGAGAATCATCAGCGCTACAAGAAAAATCAAGACAGGTATATCAATCGGTAACCGAAAATGACCGAGACGAACTTGTGAACCAGAGCCTGTTCACTCATCGCATCCTAGAAGCCAAGTTGCCCGATAATTGGAGAGGGTTAGTAATAGATAAATACGATGGCACATCCGACCTCGGAGAACATGTGGACATCTTTACAACGCAGGTCGGTTTGTACACAGAAAGCGACGCCTTATGGTGCAAAATCTTTCCTACTTCACTTCGAGGACCTGCGCTTAGTTGGTTCACCCGACTCCCCCCTCTCTCCATCGACTCGTTCGTAACTCTCACAAGACGTTTCAACTTGCAGTTCGCCACAAGCTGGCCCCATCCACTAACATCCTTGGCCTTAGTCAATATTCGCCAAGAGAAAGGAGAATCACTTAGAGCGTTCATGGAACGCTTTGGCAAAGTGACACTTTCAATTCATAATTTGGAACCAGCAGTGGCTATGCACCACCTAACAACAGCGTTGAAACCGGGACCCTTCGTTAATAGCCTCTGCAAAAAACCCCCGATCGACCTAGATGAGTTAAGGAGCCGGGCTGCGAAATATATGCAAATGGAAGAATTATTCGAATACCGGAGCCAGGTACGGATGGAACAAGGACCTAACTCAAAAAATGAAGAAAGAAGGGAAACCTTTAAAACAAGGCGGGGGAACGACAGAGGAAAGGAACTTGAGCGACCACCTCGAGGACCGAAGTATCCCTCCTACACGACGCTCAACTCTAATCAGTCCAGAATACTTGATCAAGCGCTGGCCACAGAAATATTGAAAATGCCTAGACGCGCTAACACTCCTCCTCGGGCAGATAAAAGTAAGTCTTGCCGATACCATCAGAACAGGGGTCACACTACCGAGGAGTGTACGGCGCTAAGAGACAAAATTGAAGAATTGATTAAAGGTGAACACCTAAAAAATTTCGTACAGACAGATCCCACAAGGCAATCCAACAAAGG